AGACAAGGAGTCAAAGAAGCTCTACCTAATACATAGTAATAAACACAGGGAGGCTGCCCCAAAAAAGAGACAAAGAAACATGGCCCAAATGAAAGAAACAGATCAAAACTCCAAAAAAAGAACTAAACAAAATGGAGATAAGCAATTTCAGACGCAGAGTTCAAAACATTGGTTATAAGGATGCTCAAGGAAATTAGTGAGGACCTCAACAGCATTAAAAACACCCAGCCAGAATCAAAGGATACACTAATTGAAACAAAGAACAATTTACAGGGAAACAACAGTAGAGTGGATAAAGCCGAGAATCAAATCAATGATTTGGAACATAAGGAAGCAAAAAACAACCAATCAAAACAACAAGAAGAAAAAGAATCCAAGAAAAATGAGGGTAGTATAAGCAGCCTGTGGGACAACTTCAAGAGATCCAACATTCACTCCTTCTCTTCTCCAGAAGGAGGAGGAAAGAGCAAGAAATTGGAAATCTATTTGAAAAAATAGTGAAAGAAAACTTCCTTAATTTGGTGAAGGAAATAGACATGCAAGTTGAGGAAGCACAGAGAGTCCCAATTATGACGGATGCAAAGAGGCCCACTCCAAGACACATCATAATTAAAAGGCCAAAGTTTAAAGATAAAGAGAGAATCTTAAAAGCAGCAAGAGAAAATAAATTAGTTACCAGATGGTTACCAGATAGGGGTGGGGGCGGTGAAGAATGGGTGAAGAGGTGAGGGGATTAAGTGCAAATATGGAAATAAAGAACAAACTGACAGTGACTAGAGGGGAGAGTGGATGGGGTTAATGAGGGGGAAAGGGGGAGAGGCAAGCAAAGGAACAGGGTAGAGGACTCATGCACAAGGACAATGGTGAGAATTATCTGTGGGAGGGGGGGCAGGGTAGGGAGAGCAATGGGGGGAAAGTGGGACAACTGTAACTGAGCAATAATAAATTCATTTAAAAAAAGAAGTACAAATAGATAGTTACAAATAGCCATGGGGATGTAAAGTGCAGTATAGGAAATGGAGCAGCCAAAGCACTTATACACATGACCCATGGACCTGAACAATGGTAGGAGGATTGCCTGAGGGAGTGGGGGACACTGAGTGGAGGGGCACAAAGGGGGAAAATTGGAACAACTGTAATAGCATAATCAATAAAATATAATTTTTTTAATTGTATTTTTTTTATTTTTAGAGAGAGGGGAAGAGAGGGAAAGAAACATCAGTATGTGGTTGCCCTTCATGTACCTCCAACTAGGGACCTGGCCCGAAACCCAGGCATGTGCCCTGACTAGGAATCAAACTAGCGACTCTTTCATTCTCAAGCCAACACTCAGTCCACTGAGCCACACCAGCCAGGGCAACGAAATACAATTTTTTTTAGAATGATCTGGTTTTAGCTCAAAACTGATGATGCCACATTAGAACCATCTTTTTCTGATCAGTTAGCTCAGAGTCACTTTTAAAAAATGGGGTGGGATTTATTTAACATGCTGAAGGGCAAAGACGAGCTCTCAGTAAATCAACGTTTGCAAACTTATGTTTTGGACATCATGGTTTTACCTATGAAATGTCCAGCTACTTTTTTTCAGTGACCTTTTGAACATGGAGCCAAATTTTTCTCTCCTTGAATCTGAACTCTGCTTAAGGACTAGCGTCTAAAGAAACAGAATGTGGAGAATGTGAAGGTATATGGCTTCTAACATTAGGAGAGAGTGGCCTGCTCCTTGCTCTCTCACGACCTGCTCGCTCTGGGTGAAGCCAGCTGCCACGTTGGGAGGACACTCAAGTGGCCTCATGGAGAAGTCCATGTGACAAGGAACGGAGGCCTCCTGCAAACACCCAGCAAAGGATTGCGGCCTCTGCCAACAGCCGTGTGAATGGTCTACTTTGGAAGCGAATCAACCAGCCCCAGTCAAGCCTGCAGATGACTGCAGCCCTGGCTGATGCTGTGACTGCAGCCTCATGAAAGACCCTTAGCTTCCACTGCCCAGCGAGCCACTCCCAGATGCGTGACCCACAGAAACAGCTTTCATAGTGAGACCATGTTTTCCCTTTTAATCTGCTAAATTTGGGGGTAATCTGTCATGTCACAATAGACAACTACTACAGGGGCTCTCTCGGGCACCAAGGACAGCACACAAAACTGCCTTTTAGTTAAGGGTGTGTGTGTTCACATACATAGAGCAAAGTGCACAACTGACGTTTACAACTCAGGGAATTTTTACTGATGTGCAAAGCCATGTAACCACTACCCAGGTCAAGATACAGGGCATTTCCATCACTCTAAGAAATTCCCTCATGCCCCTGTCCTCTCACTAACTCTTCCCACGGGGAGACGCTCTCCTGAGTTCTATAACCAGAGATCAGTTGTGTGTGCTCCTGAACTTCATGTAGGTGAATCATGCAGTGTAGTGGGTGTCATGTCTGCCTTTTTTTCACTCAGCATAATAAATTTTACATTTAGGTTGTTACATATTTCAATAGTTTCTTCCTTTTATTGCTGGAAAGCATTCTACTATATAGTTACGCCAAATTTATTTCCCTGTGGCAGACATTTGAATTATTTCCAATTGGAGGCTACTATAAATAATGCTAACACGAATATTCTCGTGCCAGTCCCTTTCGTAGACCTGTGTGCTCAATACTGTTGGGTAAAGTCTTAGCAGCAGAATTGATGGGTCATTGGGTGGGTGTATGTTTAACTGTCAAATCATTCTCCAAAGCAGTTGGGTCACAGTGTTGTTTTTTTTTTTTCATTTGAAGCAGACCTAGCTTGCAAAGAAAGAAAAACAAAAGTCGGTCGTAATGAAAAATGAGTAGCAATGAATAAAGAGCTCCCTAAATTATTTGGAAGAGGCGAGAACACCAGCCTACCATTCACAGAGCCATCTGACAACTGCACCTCCTGGCACATACTTTTATTTTGATCATTGGTTTGGAAATAACTTTAGCCGCTTAGATCAAAGGTTTTCACAAAGATGATCGGGGCAGGGACCCAAATCCTGAGGGGAGGGGAATTTACATGAAGAACCCTTCTGTTAAATGGAAGAGGAAGGAATCTTTCCTCCCAGTGCTCTTGTTTGCCAGTGTTTGCCAGCCCAGCCAAGTGGCAAACGATGCCTAACACAGCACACCCCCAGGTGCCGAGTCAGCTTTTCGCTCCCCTGAGTTCTGTTGGAGATAAACAGACCGGAGAGCTTTATTAAGGATGCACCCTGGGGCACAGGGCCGCCACAGGCTTCAGGCTCTGACCACAGGCCCGGTGGCCTGTCTCCGGCTTGCTCTTGGCAGACGAGCTATTTCCAAGTCTTTTCTGCTTCTGAAACTGCCCAGACACCCACAGTGTTATTTTCATGGGTGGCCCAGACCTCCGTAAGAGAAAACAAAAACTATAAAGCCAGAATAGCAACTCCAATCCCAGCAACCTCAGAAGATGCTCAATAATTTCTATTAGGAAACTTAACAATTGCCACAAGCTGTAGGTCCCAAACCGGGAAATGGTTAAGATAAAAGCTCCTCTTCCTGCTGCTGTCAGTGGGCACGCGGCAGAAGAGCAGAGACGACACACATGAGGCCTAGGGAAGTCCCGTGGCAGCAGTGTGCTGAGCAGAGGGCCGCTCCGCACCCACGGAGAAGGCAACGACCCTGATCCCAGGGATCCCCGCCCACTGGGAGACGGTCACTTTCAGGGCACTCAGGAAAGACTGGGGCTTAGTCCTTCACAAACTGATACATTTTCTTGTGACTTTATTATTATAAGAGGCCTAGATTCCAGGGAGAGAAGAATAAGAAGTTCCTTTTCTTGTTTTGTGTTTTTTGTAAAATGAGCTCCCATGTATAATGTTGCACCCACATTTTGAGTGCATTATACATGGGATGGTTATACCTATTATTATGCCCCTGGTATGTAATCACTACACCCAACCTTATTTTTCCCTCAAAAATTTGGGCACAAAAAGTGCCCATTATACATGGCAAAATACGGTACCTACCACTTGCCAGCACTTGAGCACCAGCACTTAAGCCTTAAGTTGAATCAATCCGCACAACAGCTCCGTGAAGTGGGTACCATGATCCGCTCTGCCACGAGGAAGTTCAATAACTCGTGGTAGTTCCCCAGCTAAAAGGAACAGGAGTCAGGATTGAAACCCGAGTCCCCCTACTCCTCCTCTTTACTAACAGCAAATAAAGGTTCAAAGGAGTTTTTAAATGAGCAGCTACTACCCTTAGCCACAAGGGGAGGGGTAGAGAAATACACTTGAAGAGGAGAATATGCTTTTACCTTAAGTTCTACTCCTAATGACCAAAGGGCTCTCCGTGACCCAGTTCTAGCTGGTATTCCTGGGAGAAAGCTTAACAAAAAGCCTCATTCTGTGAGTGCTTTGCCTCCCTGAGCCTCCACGGTCCACGGTGACTGGCCGTGAGCTTTACATGGTGGTGAGCTTTTCTGCTTTCCCCTCCAAACAGGGAGCATGGCTTCCCTGCTGTCCAACACCCTTTTCTAGCATCCAGGAAATGCCACATTGCCTTCTTTGTTCACTGTCTTTTCTAGAGAAGTTCTCCAGCATTGGACGCGGGGCACTTGTCTGAGCCACCCAAACAAGAATGCACGACTTCCATCACCACCTATCGTGTGGTTTGGGGTCTTCCTGGTAATAGCAGGTTGGAGCACCCTCGTCTGGTTTGCCCTTATTAAACCGTGGAGGTCACTTCTCTGCCAGGGACCGTAATCGGGGAGCCCTGGTTTCTTCTCCACAAGTGTGTCTCCTCCAGAGTCTTTTGCAATCATGGCTCATTTCTCTAGGTTTCACATGGCAGGCGTCTGAACAGAATTAAAAGCACAAGCACGTGCAAAAATAATCCGCTTCCAAAGATAGTAAATGCTGAGCAGTTCTATATTAGAACACACTAGGAGCGCTGACTGGCTGGGGCCTGATTAACCTAATAGGCTTAAAGTTCCACTTGCCGTCCACATCTGTCAGGAGGGAGACAACACGGGCCCCTGATCCGTGAGCCTGAGGTCCTTCACCTTTGCACTGCGGCTCGCTGACTGCAGAGGGTCCGAAGTCAGGGCGGCGGAGGACGGCGGGTGCCACCCACCGCCCCTACACAGGACGTCCTGACGTCCAGGGAAGTCGGAAAGCTCATGCGGCGCACAGGATGCAGCACCACGGACTTCAAAGGGCTCTGGCCTGGAAATGCCTGGATGGACTAGTAAGACCGCTTTTTGCTGCTCTTTCAAACATGGTTCTGTGGAAATTATGAAGGTCGCAGGTGGGAGATGACTGCAGGCTGACGCCATGGGGTGTGCGCCGTCCCACAGCGACATTGTGAACAGCGTGGCTAAGAGCAGCATCCAGTTTTTTAAAAAGCCCAAAGCAGTTCTGCCAGGGGCAGGTCAGGGGGACAGGGAAACATGTTCCGTCCCTTTGCTGGTTCAAAGCTCCACCTGCTATGACTCTGGGGGGGACTTGTCCCAGGGACAAAAGCCAACAGAGGTGCAGCCGGGTCCCAGATGGACCCAAACCATGGCTGAAGATACCACTGCAGGCAAAAAGAAAGATCTGGAAGGACTGATCTCAGAATCCAAAACTTCCCCATCCCAGCTGAACAAATCCCAAAGCCACATGGCTAGGGACATTCCATTCAAGACACAGAGCTCCCACGAGTCACAGGGGGCAGCCTTTTCTGAGGAAGAAAAAGCAGAAAGTGTTACCCATGAGACCTCCCTATGGGAGGGGGAGCCAAAATGCCACAGGTCGGGGCAGCAGGGTCTTGGTTGCCAGGCCACCCCCCTTGCTCAGGGGTCCGAAGGCAAAGTGGACTTTCCTGAGCCCCTGGTGATGGCCCACCAGCACACTTACACCTATCTGCACTCCTGCCTCTCCAAGTACGAAGCCGTTCTGAGCCTCACCCGTCAGGCCACACAGACGCAGGAGCTGCTGCAGCCCATGGTGAGCTTCCTGCTGCTGTGCTGCGATGAGGCCAACCAGCTCTTGGGGGAGATCTCCAAGGACGGAGAAGTGCTCCTCCGGGAGGTTAGGGGGGATCTGGCTTGGCCGTGGAAGAAAGGGGAGCCCCGGGAGCAGCCAGATCTCCTGCCGCAGCTTCTGCAGTACACAGTCAGCAGGCTGCAGGGGCTCGGCGGCGCGGTGGCCTCGCTCACCAGCGGCTTCCTGGAGGGCTCCGGCAGCTACCTGCAAGCCGCTGCAAGCCACTTGGGAAGCACGCTGAGCACGAAGAAGGGGGTGGATGCGCACCTCCTGCAGGCTCTGGGGCAGCTGGAGAGCTTGGCGAGCGGCCACAGTGGCCCTGGGGTGCAGGGTCTACCCTTGTGCTCTGAGGACAGTGGCATCGGTGCGGACAGTGAGTCTGTGCACCTGGTGGACAAGCTGGGCAAGCAAGCCAGCTGGGACTTGACGCCGGAGCCTGCAGACTGGAAGCCGGGGACTTCACCCCCAGGGGAGGCCAGGCTGTTGGGACGTACCTGGCAGCAGAGCCCAGTCTGGATGGGCTCGGACAGACCCCAGGACTGCCCACTCTCAAGGCCTCTTCTGGCAAAGGTTCGGCCAGCAGCAGAGGGTGGAGCAAGGGCTCTAGGCCTCTCCTGCCCAGGCCCAGAAAATGCTGTCTCCAGGCCTCTGGGGGTAGGCAAAAGCAATCCCTGCGAGTCCTCTGGGGCCAGGACCTCGGTGGAAGCACACCTTTCTAAAGGCTCTGGGTCACTGGGTGCTCCACCCTCCAGCGAAGAGGAAGGCGGGAGCACAGAGGAGGAGGAAGACGATTTCCATGCAAGGCCTCGGTCTTCTCCTCCTGGCCCATTTCAGCCGTACCCCAGGGGGCTTAGGAGCCTCCAAGCTCAGGAAATGATTCTGAAGATGAAGGAAGCAATCAGTGAAAGGATCAAGTTTGTCCCTGTGTCCGCTGGGCACCAGGATTGGGCTGAGGAGGAGGAGAGGACAGTGGTCCCACCAAGACCTAGCACGGTCAGTGGAAGCCGGAGAGCCCCTGTGAGACAGAGGAGGTCCCAGTCAGAGGGGTGTCTTAAGGGCCACGCGGAGGAGCCCACCCTCCAGGAGCTGCAGCGGGTCCAGAGAGACCTCAGCCAGAGGCTGGAGGCGTTCTCCTCCCTGGGCACCCGACGGCAGGAGCTGCGCAGGGAGCAGGTTCCGCAGCCCAGAGCAGCTTCTCTGAAGCCCGGCGGCCACCGCAGGGCCACCCCGAGCAGCCCCATCAGCAAGCTGAAGGCATCTCTGACCAAGAACTTCAGCATTTTGCCAAGTCAGGACAAGAGCATTTTGCAGAACTGCAGTCCCCGCCCTGAGGGGGAATGGCCCTGGCAGAGGGGAGCTGAGGGGTTTCCAAATGCCACCCCATCAGGACAGAGGGCCAGGGAGGCTCCCAGGGCTGAGGACTGGGATGTCAGGGGCCACCCCCCCAGGACATCAGTCAAGAAACTCATTGAAACTTTCAGTTCCAGTGAGAATCTGCAGACACTGGCAGGGTCCAAAGACTCTGGGCCAAGCCCCTGCCTCAAGAAGTGGGGGGTCCCCATGATGCCCCCCAGATTTCCCATTTACAGGGGGCTTGCCCCTTTGTATCCAAAGCCCCGAATTTCTCCTGCGGTATACAGAGGGGGTCTCAGGGGGGGCCCAGGCTGCAGGCCCGGAGCCCCTGCCTCTCCCCCTCTGCAGGCAGCGGCCACGAGCGAGGAGCTCCACGGCAAAACACGGGGGGAGGACCCAGCGCACCTCCCTCCGCCACCTCTGGAAGTCCTGATGGACACATCATTCACCGCTCTGGAGCCCCCTGAAGGCAGCGAGCCAGCAGGGAGCTCTCCTGATGGGACCCACGTGCCAGGGCTGGCAGGGGCTGGCCCTGCTGGGGGAACATGGATGTCCCCAAAGCTAAGAGCCTCTGTGAGCCCCACTGACCTGCTGCCCAGCAGGAGCACTGCCACCCCCACCGGGCCCTGCAGCGCAGGGCCGGGGAGCAGCCAGAGCGGCTGCAGGCCTGGAAAGCTGGCCTTGGACCTCAACCACCCCCCGGCAATGAGCCCCAACCCAGAGGAGGAGGCCAGGGAGGCTCAGAGCCGGGCACACGTGGCCAGACCCGCAAGCCTCTCCAGGCAGCCCCGGAGGGCAGGTACCAGGCACCACCCCAGCCACATCTCTGGGCAGCACAGGGCCTTGGAGTCCAGCCTGCCCAGATCAACTCGGGGGCCACACTCGTCTGAGGCCGCAAGGAAGAGCCAAGAGAGAAGCTCAGCGCTGGTCAGGATGGCCTCTCCTGCGAGGGTGCCCAGAGCAGACAAGAGGCACCCGAGCCTGCCCTCCTCTCACAGACCTGCTCAGCCAAGCGTCCCCTCTGTGCATGGGTCCCCCAGCCCAACAGTCAGCCCTCTGGCGAGCCCCCGGGCACTGAGCCCCCCAACAATAATGAAAGGGGCATCCCCACCACCCCAGCACGACCTGCCCAGCCCTCCCGCTGAGAGCTCACTCGCTCAGCACAAGATCCCCAACCCCCCTACCCAGTGCACAGAAGCAAGCTCCCCTGCCTCTGGCCCCTGCCCATCCCCTCCGCTGTCCCCCACACAGGGACAAAAGGAAGCAAGAGAGTCTGAGAATAGGTGGGCAGCCACAGCCAAAGCATCTCGGAACACACGGGCCCTTTTCTGCCCAGCCACCTCCTCTCTGTTTGAAGCCAAATCTCCATTCTCAACAGCCCACCCGGTCACCCCATTCCTGCCACCTGAAGCTGGGGGTCCTCGGGGGACCCCCACAGGGTGCTGGAGAGGCAGCTCAGAGCCACGGCCAAGGTGGGGCTCGCAGCGGGGAATGGCTCTGTGTGCCCTCAACCCTCAGCCCTTCGTCAGACGGACCGCTTCTGACCGCCAGCCAGGCGTCCGCCTTCAGCTGCCCGTCCCAGGTGCCACCGGCAACGCTCGTGAACCCCAGCTGGGCCAGAGCAGGTAAGGGGAGTGTCCGGGGCCTCCGCCCTTAGGTACTGGAACAGAGCCGACGGGCCTTTAGGACCATCTGAGTCTGCAGCTTCCACACTGTCCTCTAAGAGGAGAGACCATTAGGAAAAAGGGTCTGGGAATGTCCAGCCTCCCCTGCACCAGCCCCCCAAAGCTCTGAGCCACTGGGCTTTCATTTGTCACTCATTTCAGGTTCTTGAGATTCTATATGAAAAGAGGTTCTGCTAGATGAAAAGTCTAAAATAATCAAGGCCATCCAGCCCCACGCAGGTCTTTCTTTAATGAGCAGGGGCGGTGGGGGGGCCTGAGATAAAGCAACTTGGCCTCCTGGTAGAGCCACCGTCACTCGGCCCAGAACCAGCACCCTGATCGCTGCCGTTTCTGTCGCCTGCTTCTAGGTGGGGGGTTCTCAAACGTGCGGTCCGGGAACCTCTGGAGACTCTGAAAAATGGCCGAGAACCCAAGAGCCTTTGTGTGTGTGTCGGCGGGGGGGGGGGGCCCGGGCCCGTGTCTTTTCACTGTGTTAGAAACTGAAGTGAAGAAATATCGGAAGCGTTTATTAATAATTTTTGGAAATAAACACGACCTCATTATGTGTTAGCATGAATAATATATTCTTATGAGAGTTAACCGTATTCTCCACAAGATAAAAATTCAGTGAGGCGTGGCCCTGTCCTACATTTTTGCAAATCTCCTGAGCGTGAGGCTTCACAGAAAGACGGCCAGATTCTCAGATCGGGTTCCACAGTCACTCTGCTGTGATACCACACATCAGGTAGACAGGAAAACTCCACGCTACCCTCGTGGAAGAATGAGTGGGAAAGGCAAATAATGCCTCAGTATTACTACTGCAGTAGTTTTGACCTCATAGACCCCCTTACCAAGTGTCTCGGGGACACCCTGGGGACATACCTTGAGGGGGGCTGGTCCTGGAGACATGCCATATAAATGTTTAGCTTCCACCGCCCCCCAAACACCTGCCCTCACTTCTCTTCCAATCCAGCCTCGTCTCCACACCCCCCTGCAGAAGTCTGGAGAGTAGGAACAAGACTCTTCTTTAGCCCTGAGCACCAGCACCCAGGAGAAGGGTCCCCGTCCTTGCCCTGGGCATACTGAGTTTGTCTGTTTTTTTAATTGAATGATTTTGAGAGAGAGATGTTGATTTGTTTTTGCACTTATTTATGCATTCATTGGTTGCTTCTTGTATGTGCCCTGACCAGGGATTGAACCCTCAGCCTTGGTATATTGGGTAGATGCTCTAACCAACTGAGCTACCCGGCCGGGTCCCGGCACAGGCCAGGAGTCAGAGTATAGTCTGCCAGAGCGTTGAACAGACTGGATGCTCAAATGGCGGTTTTGCAGACTGTATGGAGAAATGTGCCTCTCCAGACCTGTGGCATGGCGGGGAAAATGCAAATCTGAGGCCTATTAGATGAGCTCTTATCAGTGTGTCTGGAAAGCAGATCAGACAAAGCTCCACCAGCCCTCACTATCTGCTCATTGCCCACAAGTGTGTAAATCAGCAGTGAACTCCTGCCACGGTGGTACGTGCTAGAGACTTCACCATCTGTCAACACATAAATGGTAATTTCTTATTTTTTTTACAAAGTACTCAGCAGTCAACTTTAAATAAAGATATTATCTAGGGAAAGCTGCGCATTATTATAGTTATATACACCTCCCCAGCCACTTGAAAGAAATGAAGTATTGATTATATTTGCAAGAATCTTAATGCAACATTGCTCTTTTCTTAAATCTACAATGAGCTCCCGACAGCACAGCGCCTTCCATCCGAGAACCCCCGTAAATGTTAACGCGTTATTCCTCACACTAGCCGCTCCTTCGGTTGTTGGATTTCTAAAATGGCGCCCTTCAGGAGAAAAACTGGAAAAGGCAAGGACAATAAAATGCCATTAATTAAAAATACTAACATTTTAAAACACTGGGAGCAATAGTAAAACAACATAAAATTGTTCAAGAAGACAATGATGCCCTTGTCTAGGATTCTCCTCGGAAAAGGGCAGCCTGCACGGTTGTTTTATGTCCTGAGTTTCAGGATTGAAGACACTGGGGTGGGGGGCGCAGTGCTTGTAGCTGGAAAAAGGGAGGAGGTTCATAAACAGGCACCTTCCCAGGCCACATGGAAGGTTTCACAGTGGCTCACACCCACCCCCCTGTCTCTTGGTAAGACCACACCTCTGAGCTGTTCCCAGCTGTGCAGCTGCGCTGGGTGTGAGGTGAAGGCGCTCATTCCCCAGCCCCCACCCATGCTCAACCCCGGGGGAGATGGCTGGCATCTGGAGCAGAAGCACACCGGCTGCAAGAACACTGAGTGTTCTCCACTGCGTGGAGGACTGGCATTTGTTTTCCTGCCCTCCTGCCTGAGGGAGCCTATACCAGGAAATGGATCATGCCGCAAGCCAACCAGCCTGTGCCAGAGAGGCAGAAACCGCTCAGAGCTGGCTGCTTCCACCAGCGGGATGTGCAGGGACAGACACGACCACACCTGTGAGATCCTGCCACCAAGGCAGGCTCGCCCACAGCTGGTGCTGACCGCTCTCAGGTCATCCCGGGCCAGGCGCCAGCCCCTCTTGTAGAAAAATGATGACATTCATATCTGCCCGACCGTGGGGCTCAGGCTTGGGAAGAGTCCCTGGAGGTGTACCCAGGCACCTCAGTTACTGAGCTCCAGCTGTCATTCATGGGTCAAATCCCCCGGTGGTGGTGCCGGTCCCTTGGTCTCTGCGCACTGGGGCACTGTGAACATCCAAGAAGGGTCCAGACGTTTTCCCCTAAAGGCGGTGCTCTTGGTCTTTGCCAGGACTGGACCCTCCAGGCAAGGTCTCTCTGCAGAAACCCCTGACCCCGCCCCTTTCCTGGGCCAGGCTTCCTGGGCGGCCTGCCTAATAGAGCTCATGGGGGAGTCAGGAGCGAGCTGTGACAGGCAGAGAGAAGGGCCTTCTGCTCTGTGCGTGTGGGGAGCTGGGTCTGACCCTGGCCCCAAGGTGACTGATCCAGAGGCCCGGACCCTCAGGCGGTGCGACAGGGTGGTCCCAAGCATTGTAGGTGTGACTTCCTATTCATGCTACAAAGCAGCCTCAGGCTGACAGCTGGCCATTTACTGAGCACCTGTCATGTGCTGGTTAACATTCCAGGAGCTTTACACACTTCACCCAACACTGACACCTTCGAGCGCCCTGTGAGATGGGCACTACTATCACCTTCACTTTACAAAGAAGAGAATTGAAGAGATTAATTAACATGCTACAGGTCCCACGGCTAGTCAGCCGAAAAGCCAGGACTTCAGCCCGGACAGCCAGCCTCCAGCCCTCACACAGTGATTGGGAGGCCAGTGTGTCAGCACACGGTCCGTGTGGCTTTCTGAGCTGGCACCCTCCCGGCCCCAGCCCGCTCCGTGCTTGTGACTACCCTCCATTCTGCGTCCCCAGCACACGCTGGGTGTCCTTCCCCACTCAGAGCCCCTCTCACCGCAGCACTCAGCAGCCGGGGGGGCCTGTTCTAGCCACAGGCCAGCCCTGGTTACTCCAGTCAGGAAGCAGGGTGGGTTCGGGGTGGAGGGCTGGCTGTTATTGTTGGTATTGTTTGTTTTTTTCCTTAATTGATTTTGCAGGGGGAAAGTGAGACATAGATTTGTTGTTCCACTTATTTATGCATTCATTGGTGGCTTCTTGTATGTGCCCCGAGCGGGGATCAAACCCGAAACCTTGGCGTATTGAGACAATGCTCCAACCAACTAAGCTACCCAGCCAGGGTGTGGGTGTTGTCTTTACCTCAACTAGCTGAGCCTAGCCCTTCACTAAGTTAGAAACGCTTCAAAAACAAACACAAAATAGAAGCCCGCTCCAAGAGTTCCTGAGGGAGTGGCTGTGTTCAGAGCAGCAGGATCCTGGGCGAGAGGAAGAACAGGCCTCAGCCTGTCCATCAAAACGCCCCAGGGCCAGAGCCTGGCTTCCACGCTGCCCTGCCCGGCTTCAGTGGGCCGGCACCAGGCCAGCACCAGCCAGGCAGGCCTGACACAGAGAGGCAGAAGCCAGGCACCAGGGCACCACCAGGCCTGTGGGAGGGACAGACGGGGAGGGACAGAGAGGCAGAGTGGAGGGCAGGGGCAGGGACCAGAGGAACGACAGAGGACTCTCTGATCCACACCCGTCCTTTCTCTCAGCAGCGGCAGTGAGGCAAGCCCCAAGAGGGACGCAGAGTCGTGGAGCAGCAGCCCCTGCGCCCTGGAACTGAAGGGCAGCGGCAGGGCCGCGTCTGCCCCGGAACTCTGCGTGCTGGGCCACGGGCTGCAGCGGGACACCAGCGCCGGCCGCACCCAGGACAAGTCCCAGCAGAAGGAACTGGCCTGACCGGCTAAGCATGACCGCCAAGTGTCAGGCTGCCCTGAGGATGGCGGGCCAACCACCCTCCTCCTAAGGGGTCCTGGAAGGGCCTGGACGGTGCACTGCCCAGCAGGTCTGCTGAACTATAAACATTCGCTGTTTTGGGTCCCAGCTCCTGGTTTGCCTTGGGGTCCAAAGGTTAACTATAACTTTGAATCCCACAGTGGCACTCTTAATCCTTCAAGTACTGGCCTTAATTTAGAGGAAACTTGAGTTTCTCGAATGCTTGATGGGCCGGGTGTTTTACCTGCGTCAGCCCCCTGAAATCACTTCATCCCCACCACAATACAGGAGGCAGACAGCATCCTGTAACCAAAGCGCCCCCCACCCAGTGACTTGTCTGAGGTCACACTGCAAACATTTGAACCCGTGTAGGGGCGTGGAATCTATTGTCTTCCATCACGTCTCATTGCCCTTGAACATCCCATCACTCCATCTGCCTAAAACATACTGTTGTGCAAACAGTGAGAACGCTTTGTTTTTTTTTTAAGGTTAAATACGGGCACAGCACGCCAGTCCCCAAGATGAGCTTTGCTTAGAAGCTGGTTGCTGCAGCAATGAAAGCCCACCCACTTTCCTGCTTCTCCTCCTTCCGCAGCTGAGCACCACAGCCCAAAAGGCAAAGTTCCCAGCCCACTCAAGCAGCCACGTCGCCGCTCAAGCTGAGTGCATCTCACATGCCCTGCCCTACGCGTCCACATGCCTTTCAGACTGAGTGGGCGCAGCCAAGCCTCCCAAACAAGGCAGCCGATTCTCCAAGCGCCTTGGGGGCTGGGGCTCAGAGGGTGTGTGGGTAAGGTCCCTTGTACACGGGCCATCTCCCCCAGAGGCTTCTGAGCCACGCTTATCTGGGTCACCTGCAGAACTTCTGCTGGAGTTGAAATTCAAGTGAAGAACGGTCATTTGTGCCAAAAAAAAAAAAATTGCTTCTGCCAACAATCTAGATATTTGCTGTAGATCTGGAAGTTTTCCATTGGAGGCTGTGGAGCACTTTCTATTTAGAAAAGAATTTGCAGTAATCGGGTGATTCAATGGGTTGTCACAAGACGAGAATTCTCCCTCATGGGCTAGAACTAAGAGGCAACCCTCCAGATGCTACAAAACTGATTTTTTTCAGTTTGCGAAAATTATAGACATCAGGTCCTTTTTTGTGAAATAGGTCCTGACTCAAGAGCACATTAAACTGGGTCCTGGGGCCTAAGCAGCCTCCTCCGGGGCAGGCATGAGTCCAAGGGAATGAATCCCACCTCGATGTGTCCAGTTATTAAAGTAGGGGCAACAGGGACCACTCTTCAAAGGCACCCAAGGAAGAGAGACTGAACTACCGGGAGGGGCCATGACTTACCCCCGCTGGGGAGTGTCTGTGAGCACCCCGCTGTGTGCTCCGTTTGCTTGGAGCCGCACTAATCCGCAGAGCAGAGCAGGGCTGGCTCTGGGGCCCAGGCACACCCGTCCGCTCGTGGGTGGGCCCTGGGAACCGTCTGGGCTGCAGGAAATGGGAGGCGGTCCAGCTGCCCGGGCAGGGCAGGGCTGAGGGAGTTGTGTGAGAACATCAGGTTCAGGAAACCTGCTTGGTACAGAGCCGGGCAGCCTATCCACACGGTTAGGCCTGCAGCGTGGGCAACGGGGCAGGGCTGGGGGCTGGGCAGGCTGGGGGCTGGGCAGGCTGGGCACGCAGGAAGCAAGCAGTGGGGAGCCAGCCTGGGGCTAGAGTTTAGGGGTGGGGTTCCTGGAGGTCCGAGGAAACGAAGCAGAGCCCCAGCTGCAGGGAGACTGGATGGGGACATGGTCGACAGACTGGGACACGACCCAGAGGTATAACCACAGGGCCAATAAAAACTCTAGTGACTAGAACCAGGATAGAAGTGGGAGCCAGATCCGCACACAGGCGAGGTGAGTCTCAGTGTCCAGCCCAGGCCCCCCCCAAATGGTCCTTGTCTTAGAGGTTGGGGCTGGCCCGAGTGCACGGGGGGGCGGGGGGGGCTGAGTGCACCCGGCTGCGACAACAGGAGCTGCGGATGGGCAGCTGGGAGCCAGACGGCGCATTGCACCGCGGAGGGGTCCGTGTCAGACAAACACCCCGGGAGAGTCTGGGGTGAGCCACTGCTGGCCTCCCTGAGTGTGCCTGGTGGGACGCTCTCTGAGGTGAAGAGCAGCCCCACCCCCAGGCTGGACTGGTTGGCAGCAGCCAACACCCCCCTCCGGAGCTGCAGGCTGGAGGCCTGCCATTGGCCAGAAGCAGTTCTCGCCTCCGAATCCCTCCGCAGCGCTGAGCACCTACCTGTGCCAGGAGAGTGCTGGGCCCTGCCGTGTATCCCCACGTGTGCTGCACCGAAAGCTCCCAGCAGCCCCCAGCCCCAGTCCCAGGAGCCCGCAGGCTCAGACAACAGGGATGACAAGCTCCTGTGGACATCCTGTTGCCAAAGGACCCAAGAGCTTCAGAAATCCCAACTAGGCTTCCCTGGGGCAGATAGGGAGGGGTTGAGAAGGCTAAGGAGCTGGGAGGCAGTAAAGGTCAAAGGTGAAGCAGGGCCTAGCGGGCCTTGAGCTGATGAGTCCAAGCTGTGCTTTTTTGGCTACCATCCTAACTACCAGATTTGGCCCAAATTATTGGCAAATTAGGCTCTGTACAAAAGAAATTAAATTTACCACCATGGACCCCTTGGGTGGCATCAGGCCAATTTCAGGCCTTCTGGAGACCTGGCCTTTCTTTCCTCTGACACTTGCCTTGGGGGGCGCACCGCCGGTGGCCATGGGGACAAGCCCAATTCCACAGCTTCTCAGCTGGGTCACTCTGACCCTCCCCTCAAGAACCTCGTCCCTGCCCAACCCAATCTGCTTCCGTGCTCAGGGGAGAAGGGAGGGCAGGTTTTTTGCTTTGTTTTGTCTCTTTAAATGAATTGAACCATGGACCCAACCCATGGAGGACTCAAGACCCTGTGCTTTTACTCCCCAGGGTTAGAACCCAAGGAGGAGTGTGGGATAGAAAGACAGAAGGGAGCCCAGCGCAGGAGGTCCATTTAAAGGGCACATACAACACCCATATTTTTATTTGGGCCAACCCCCCCGGGGGCAGGCCTCCCAGCCTTCTTCCTCCACACCCACGAGGACTCCCAACTGCGGGGACGGTGGGGAGGGCTCAGCCAGCTCTTCCTCCAACACTTCAGCCACTTAACAAAGAGTTCAGCCCCAGGGGGAGACACAATTCTCCAGTTTCATCAAAAGGATTCGTGAAGGAAAAAAGCAACTATAATATTCTGGTGGAATAGTGATAGCTTTTTGCAAGTATAAATACAACCTCGAAGCTGAACTGTAACTTCCATCCCAGCATGAGTCTGGGCGCTTGTTTACTATAAACAGCATCTATTTTCCTTCCCCGAGTCACATACCCAGTTCGGAACCTAAAATGATCCGTGTGGAGAGAGAGCACAGAGCAGCACATACCCAGTTCGGAACCTAAAATGATCCGTGTGGAGTGAGAGCACAGAGCAGCACATACCCAGTTCGGAACCTAAAATGATCCGTGTGGAGAGAGAGCGCAGAGCAGACAGACCAAAGGACGTTCCTTTCATTGTGAGCAGCGTCTCGCCTGTGTTTGACAAGACTTGCCTCATAAACCCAATAACGGGAATGAGGGGGATTTTGAGAAATATATCCTTTTTTTCTAAAATAAACCCGTGATTTGCATGTATCCGGGAGCCAGTGCAGTGAATTGTCTCAACGTGTTTGTCAACTGATCATCCGGTTGACAGTTTCCAGGCTGCCAACGCCCACCCCATCTTCCCAAGGCCAAGTTTTCGAAGAGAATCTGTTTCTTAAGTAGCTCCACCACAAAGGCAGTGTGCTGAGCCTGTGTTGACAGAACAGGCCAGACTGCACTGTGCCTTACTCCCTGCGCCCACCTGGAGCTGAAGTAAAGCTCCATCAATCCATCCAGACGGTTTGATGAACTGTCGTTAAAGATACGTGACCCACGCAGAGGAGCAAACAGCTAATTCGCTCAGCACTCTAATTTTATGAAGGACCCTGGGCACCGCTGGCCTGATGACACTCGTGGACTTCAGAAAGTGGCATGGCTGATAGTCTGTGGGCCCCGCATCGGGTGACTATAGAATCCGACGGATCTGGCAGCCCAGGTGTGGAATGCTGTGACCCGGCCACCCTGACATCCAGCGCACCACCAGCCATCTGCATCGGCTGGCATGCCGGCACTGGGTGCCCCCAGACAAACCAGGTGGGCCTACACTGGAGGGGGGAGAAAGAAGCAAGGAGGAGGGGACGGAAGGAGGAGTGCAGTGAATGGGACGGTCACCCCCGGAGCCAGAACTGACCACACCCCTCACGGTTGGAACAAGGACAACTTCATCACCCACTCGGGGACCCGGCCTCATTCCCAAACCATCTTCCGAGCCGCCTCGGGGATCTGAACTCAGAGTCTCCCTGCCGTCGTCGTTTGCAACGTGCATCTCTGGCGCGTGAAGATGGCTGTCGAGAGAAGAACCCAGGGCCCTTTTCCACTCCTTCTAGATCTGGGCGTTGATCGTCGCCAGAAGTGAGAGAAAGCCCTGAAACTCAGCTAGCATCGACTTCTGTCTCCGAAGGGTGGAAAGACTCTAAAACATTTTGCTTCCACTCACAACTGCATTACGTCAAGTATACCAAACAGGGAAAAAACAAATTAAGCTTAAGAAGCTCCTGTTCCTTCCCACACTGAGTCTTGGGTGATCCGCCAGTCAGATGGAGGAGACGACCTCAGTGCCTCTGACCAGCAGGTTTTACTGGGATGGGGCTGCGGTTAATAATCACAGCTTTGCTCTGTGGCAACACTACTTTTTCAAGACACAATTATCTACATTATTTTATTAGATCAGTTAAAAATCCCATGCTAAGAAAAAGCAAGTACTTTTCAACACCTTTTACAAATTAAAACAGTGAGGCAAGAAAGGTCCCATGTCTTGCTCCCTGGACGCAGTCCCAGCTCCTGGGAACGCAGGTCCCCCAGCCCAGGGCGGTCCAAGCTTCTGGCGTCTCTGAGCCACACTGGAAGAAGAGTTGTCTCGGGTGACACATTAAATACATTGTGACACGTAATCACAAACAATTCTCATGATGTTTTAAGTAAATAGATGATTTTGTGTCGGGCCATATTCGTGGCCATCCTGGGCCGCATGCAGCCTGCGGGCCACGAGCCCCCGGCCAGTCGGGGCTCTCACACCCACTGCCGGCAGCATTTCCTTACCCTCCGGGGTCTGCCCGCAGCCTTCTTGGGGAGACGCTCTCAGTTTTCTGCAATGTTTACAAATAGGATGTTATTTTTCACATCCAGCCCAAGTCCAGCTGTCCTTTCAGCCGTTCCCATGAAACCAGTTTGCGTGGAAGCTCACAACATAAAATATCCAAGAGAATTTTAAAAAAAACAGTAATTCCCTTTACACACTTGAACCACTCCCCATCCCTCCCACACACATACATATAAAATGTTTTTAAGAAAGAAAATCAAGTCTTTTCCAAAAATATCTTTGTTTCTCATTGCCATGGACCCCAAAGTGGACGTGCAGGTGAGACCCCCGCGGGAGCAGACAGCGCAGGACACAGGGCTGACCCCTTCCTGCCGGGCCCCAAGGAGGTAACGCCCAGAGGGTGAGACCAAAGGAGACACAGACCCTGGGAGACCGAGCGCCTTCACGAAAATCATTTATCTATCTTATTTTATTTTTTCTCCTTTGGAAGGAGACAGGATTGCCTGTGTTTGTAACACCTGGTGACTTTTTAAAGCTATTGTTTAGGTAACGGCTTCTGACATCAGTCCAGGAGGGGCAGATCACTTTCCAGATAAAAAAATTCTCAAGGAGAACCCAAGGACACGCTAATAACAGCTGTCAACCCACGCACAGGCAATTATAAAGCCATGATTAAAACAAAACAAAACCATCCTCACTGAAATACCAGACGACAGGATACGGAGAAGCCATAACGCCCCCAGAACAAACCTCAGAAATGGTGAGGACCATCCTGGGACCCCTGCCTGTCCCTCCCTCGGAAACACCTGCCTGTGAGCAACTCTGTGCACGGTGAGGCCGCTCTGCCTGCGAGCCGGGCTGGGACGGGCGGGGCACACGCCGCTTCCGCAGCCTGTGCACTGAGCTCCGGAATCACCCCGCCGCTTCATCACTGGCAGGCTCCCGGCACGTTGCTCCAGGGACGGATCTGCAGCTCAGACTAGGAATCTGGATTTGTAACCAGCACCCCTATCCCAGTCTCCCTCCCTCCTCCCCAAGCAATTGTTCTCATCAACCACACTGGGGCCACACGGGCTCAGGGACACTGGCTCCCAGGGGGGCAGCCTGGGAGCCTAACCA